AGCTGACAGAGTACTCCTAAGGTTGTGTCACAGATTACCTACACCAGAGGATCTGTGTGAACTGAACTGGAAAAAACAAGCAAAAGAAATGTGTGTAAATCTGTACCTGGAGAGTGTTTTAAATATTGCCACATTGGGATATGCTCTGCAGTGCTTCTGATTAACCCAGGGAAAAGACATGAAATTGATATTTATTCATTTATTTGTAATGCTTCCAATAAGGATTCAAACAAACAAACAAACAAAAAAAACATTGTTTTTTTCCAAAGTGGCCAACGACACTAACATGCACATGTCCAAAAGGATACCTAGGGGCCCTGGAAAGTGTGGAAGCGGGAGGGGAAACTTGTCAAAAATATGACTCAAAATATAGACTTATTAATACTCAGCAGGGCCGCCTGGGGGGGGAGGGGGCGCAAGTGGGGCAATTTGCCCCAGGCCCCGGGCCCCACAGGGGCCCCGAGAGTTTTTCGGGGCCCCTGGAGCGGGGTCCTTCACTCGTTCTGGGGGGCCTGGAAAACTCTCATGGGTCCCGGGCCCCCGGAGCTTCTTCCACTCCGGGTCTTCGGCTGCAATTCGGCGGCAAGGTGTGTGTGTGTGTGTCCTTCCGCTCCGGGACCCGCCGCCGAAGGGCCGGGTCTTTGGCGGCGGGGGTGTGTGTGTGTGTGTCCTTCCGCTCCGGGACCCGCCGCCAAAGTGCCCTGAAGACCCGCGGTGGGGGGGTCCTTCCGCCCCGGGACCCGCTGCCGAACTGCTGGGTCTTCGGCAGCGGGGGCCCCCCGCCGCCGAAGACCCCAGGCCCCCTGAATCCTCTGGGTGGTTGTGATACTCAGGGAAGTTAAGGAGACAGACCCAAGCTTGAATTCAGAGCCCCTGTTTCTCTTTGAAGAGGCGGCTGGGATCTCATCATTGGAAAGAGACAAAAGCTGACAACACTTTTTTTTTGTAAGTTTATTGTTTTTAAATATCAATTTTGTAAAGTAATTGTTGGACTCCATTAACATTCAGGTAAACAAGTGAAAAGACAATGGATGGGCATGATGTCTTAGCACAGGCACAGCCAAAGAGAGCAGGGAATGGAGGCTGCTTGTGTTTTGGGGAAAGTCAGACATCCCTCTCCCTCCCGTTCCTGTTTCAGCAGAAGCAATGGTGGGAGCCTGGAGCCAACCTGGGATGCCTGTATTGCCGGTCATGAAAAGTACAGGGGAGGGGTAGGGAAGGGCAGTTGTGGGATCACAGCACTGTACTTGCCCCTTTCACTCACTGCAGGAGCTTCATCTGATGGGGCGGATGGCAGCAGTCAGTTATCCCATGGCTGGACCATCTGACAGATCAGAAAGCCATTCCCTTAGGTTGGGGAACAATGAGCTCTTTGGGATATTCTCAGTTGCTTTTTAGTACCAGTTTAGTTTCCCCACTCGTTAGCCACCACAGGCCTTTCTGAATTTTAACCCTCTCATCATTTTGGAATTCATACTAGCTCCCCCACTACTGGGCACCTGCAGCAGCAACTGTTATTGGAAGAGCCATTTGCCTTTACTTAGCTTGATTCTGGATGTCCCACTCCAGCCTGCCCATTTCTCCTCCTCCTCCTCCTCCATCATCCCAGAGGCCTGGCTCTGCCCATGCTGTCAAAGCCTGGCTCATGAAGCATCCTGGTGTTAAGGTGAACTGGTTGTAAATCGTAGATCATGGTCACACTATACACACTATGATTAACATTAGATTTTTTTTCTTAAAAACGAACAAAACAAAACAAAAAAACAAGGCAGCTGTAGGAAGAAGTTAAACACACAGCTTTGTGGCATGCTCCACAATATAAAAGAATCCCAAGCATTCAGTTCAGCTGGCAGCAGCTCTGTTTGACTTTCTAGCATGGGTCTTCAAACCCAGCCCTGGTTAGTTCCCTGCTCCTGGCCTCTCCCAGTGAAATGGGGCTCTCCTCTTCTTCCTTTGCCTTATGACTGTTTTCTCAATGACTGGTTGTTTCCTTTGGGAAGAGGCTTCTCTTCAGAGGGAGTGTTTGTGCGTATTTATAGCCCATGGCCCTGATCCTGCAGAGCCCTATGCAGTGGACACCAATCCTGTCTGCAAGGGGTCTCCAGGATCAGACCCTGGGTCTGCATGCTTGCATGTGTGTACACATACATAGGCAGGATAGTCTCTTGGAAGGAACATGAGTCCTGCGTTCTGCTTCTCTTCCTCCTCATCTAGCTTTAGGACTGGTTATTCAAATACAGGGCAATGGCCCTGGATACTGAGCAGTTCTCAGGGATAATTTGGGGGGAGTCTGCTCTCAAATTTTCACACACCCCTGCCTCCATTCTGCTTAGGCCTCCCCTTCTCAGGAGTTTAGGACAGAGACGACCAAAGGGGGATGTTTTACTTAGCTGCTCCTCAACTCCTCAGTCCATTCTTATGCATGACAGCTCCTTCTCTCCCTCCCCTAGCCTGGCAGGCTGACAAACAAGCAATGGGACACGGGAATACTCCTGTAATAACCCTGAAGAGAAATGGACAAGGCATTAATGTCACCCAGTGAAACCCATCTTTCAGCTTCCTTCCGTGACCTCCAGTACCACTCTGTCCCCTCAGGACTCTATTCCCAAATCACTGCCATCACACTCAAAAGCCATTTCCCCAGCCTTCAGAGCTCCAAGTTCCATCAGCATCTCTTCCACGCAGGCTTCTTCTCCAGGGCGGGAGGCTGCATAGGTCGCTGACAACTACAAGGGCACCACCAGAGTTCGAAGTGAATAGTTACTTTCTGTTATGTAGTTCGGAGTTGGATGGCAAATTCCAGCAATCCCAGGGCACTTTTTGACCAAAGACTTTGCTTCCATGTTTTCCTCCCACACTTATCAGGCTTCAGCCCAGCATGCTTCTCAATAGTCACTTCTTCCCACTTGCTACTGCAAAGGGCAAGTCTAGTACCTTAAAGCTACATCTAAGAACGTGCCTGACCTGCACTTGCTTCTTTGGAGACCCAGCAAATCTTCAAACAGAGCTCCAGCTACTGACACAATATCAACTGAATACTGAACAATATCAAATATACGGTATAGGAAAAAACAAAACTGAAATGCTTAATGGCATATTTATACATATTTATCAACAGTCGACAAAGAGGTGGCGAGTTACACATCCATTCTGTATGCTAACAACCCTGATGCACATATATGTAAACACACATGCTCAGCTGATGCATCACATTTTACATATAGCCACATATCAGAGGAGGTGACCCTAAAAAATGTACAGTGAAGGAGGCACCTGGTGCACAATCTGTTCTTGTTTCCAATGCATGCAAAATGGACATTCAGGGCAATGTTACTTTAAGGCTGCTTCTATGGTTAAATTATTTCCTGCCCAACCCCCAATCAATCTAGGCTGTGTTGATACACTTCTTCCTTAGGTCACTTTAAGCACATAAGGGCTTTTTTTTTTTTTTTTTTTTTTAAAAGGGGCAAAAAAGGGGAAAAAGGGAGAAAAAATAAGCCTCTGGATTGATCAATTTGCCCACTTGTGGGAATCCCTCATTCAGTGTGTAGCAATGGCTGTGGTACCCAACGCACAGTGGTGAAGGGGTGTGTATAGCCTAGAAAGAACACAGGATCACCCTCACCCCAAACCTGATTTGGAACACTCTTACTTTTGAAAGTTACAAAAGAAACACTTCAGGGAAATAGAAACATCTCTTAAAGGGACGGGGGGATAAAGCAAAAGGAACCTCAAATCTTAACTGGGCTGAGAATAAAAACTTCCTGCTTCTGCTCAGCCAACAGCTGCAAGATGCTGCAGTCCCCAACTCAAGTACCCATAAGGGGTAGGGAAAAGTGAAATAGCTTTGTTTAAAATATATCTATCTATACATATAGAGCATCTTTTAGAGAGAGAGAGACACACACACACACACGTTTTATTACGTAGGATTTGAGGCGCACACTATCCTCTTATGTACAGGGCAATAGCGATTCTGTTAGTCCAATGGAGTGGCAGACTGTTAAAGCCACACACATTTAGTTGGTAACATCTAGCTTGGATTTTAACCTACACAAAAAAGTATGTTCAAACGGGTGCCTTCTTAAATCCTGAATTTCCCAGCTTGAGTGAGTTGGTTTCCAACTCTTAATGTAGGTTTTAAATGAAGGGCTTTTAAAAAACAATGTTTAACAGGATATGGGATTTTTGGCATAATTACAGCATATATGACAATATGCCATGAGCAAGCAAAACTGTATCAAAGAGAACTATGATGCAAAGACAAAATTAGTTTGAAATAACATGAGAAGACACCCCCAAAGTCATCCTGCATTTGTTTTGTGGAGGATTTTGAGTGTTCCGGATCTCAGCGCTTACCTACCCTCCCCCTTTTAATATATCCTTATACAGAAGTATTAGTTCAAATTAGGAACTAACAAAACCAGACTGGACATCAAGCCTCTCCAGTCCCCATGTTACATGACTGGAAAGAAGTGTGCAGGAACATAAAGCAGGCTTATTTTTCAGTCATTTGTAGAATTTGGGGGGAAAATGGGGTAAGAATTCACTCCCAGGCTATGAACCTGAGAGACAGGTTCAGCCCAAAATGAATGGGTCAATTTGTTGTTTTGTTTTTAAATGAGTTACAAACCCCAGGGAAAAAAAGCAAAAAGTTAGAATTTTAAATTCTAACTATTAAACTCTCATGTTTATTTAGCAACGTAAATGTGTCTGATTGGAACAGGCCATCTCCTCCAGATCCTTCTGGGCTGCATCTCAGCTTGAAGGACTGTGTCCCCTGCTTCTCATTTCTACCAGGCTTTGCACACCAAGGCCCGGTCCACACTAACCCCCCACTTCGAACTAAGGTACGCAAATTCGAAGTACCTTAGTTCGAACTTACCGCGGGTCCAGACACGGCAGGCAGGCTCCCCCGTCGATGCCGCGTACTCCTCTCGCCGAGCTGGAGTACCGGCGTCGACGGCGAGCACTTCCGGGATCGATTTATCACGTCTAGACAAGACGCAATAAATCAATCCCAGAAGATCGATTGCTTACGGCCGGACCAGGAAGTAAGTGTAGACCTGCCCCAAGTCAAACTTTCCTATAAGCAGCTAGGGAATGCCATGGAGTCAGGACCATGGGGAAAAGAGAGGAAAACAAAAAACCCTGCTTCAGTTTCCAGTTATAAACTTAAAACAAACAAAAAAACCAAGGCAAAGGTGTTCATTGTCCTCACGAGGCTGTAGCCTGCTGCTCTGTACCTCTGTGTTTCTGCACCATAAACATCATCACTGAAATAATGGGGAGGACAAAAAAAAAAAAAAAAAAAAAAGGAGGGGGGGGGTCAGAATCGCTGGTACAGTAGCTTTCCCTACCACACAAAACTGATGTGTAACTAACTCAGCCACAAGGTCATGGGAAAGTTTTACTTGTTTAAAAAAAAAGTAGTTTAAAAGTAACAATGATAAGTACTGTATGGTAATATTGGAAGTATTTATATACATAGTTTTCTTTGTCTTTTGTTGAAATGTCTCCTGGTCACTTGGTGGCACTTGGGGTCCCTTTTGCGCGGTCATCTCCAACCTTCCCCCCCAACTCTCCACTTCTCAATACACGGTGCTATTCCTTATGCCACAGCACAGTATCATGCTCAGGATCATTTCGAAGATCTGTAAGGAGACAAAGCTACCAGTGAAATTCTTATTTGTAAGCCCTAATGACCTAAGACATCCCCATCCATTATATTCTCCTGGCCAGAGCTTAAGGACACAGGGTTTGATTCCCTGGTCTGCAGTGCTAATCCAGGACCCCATCATCCTTCCTTCACTTCTGGCACAAGAGGAAGTGGGGGTCATGTCCTGGGCAGAGCCATGCTATACCTATCCTCCACTGACTGTAAGCCAGTTAGGCTCTCAGCTGCTCTAACTTCCTCCAGTGTTGGCTACAACAGGATCGGGGCACTGCAATTGGCTGTTTCCTGAGGTCACTCTACCTCCACTGTGTCTTAGCAGAGCCTGGACATTGTTGAGAATTCAGCTCATGATTTACAGTGCAAGAACAGGACAATGGCCCATCTAGTCCTGGTATATTGCCTCTGAAAGTAGCCAATGGATGCTTTGGAGGAAGGAGTAGAAATCTCATATGAACTAACTGAAGAAGTTCTGAAATGTACGGGGAAATAAAATTGCTTCCTCCAGCTGGGAGACCCGCTTGCACCTTGAAGAACAGGACAGAGAGCTCTTGTAACTTCATCTCAGCTAGAGTGGTTTTTAAAAATTCGTGTCTAATCCCCTTGTAAAATTTAAAATGCTATATACCTCAGTAATATCCTGCAGCAGAGAGCACTACAGGTTAGTTGTATTTTGAGTAAAAACATTGCCTTAGGTTTCTAAAAGGGGCACCTGGCAAAATTAATAACCACCGCTTGTTCTGCTGTAGACCTCACGAGTTAGAACTCAGAGTAGAGCAGCCAGCCTGGAGACAGTTACTGTGGTATTCTTGGTTGCAGGACAGGGGGCAACAGAAGAGAGAGCACTGATGGGAATGAGAATTGGAATGGACAAGGAAAGGGGCGCTGTGCTCCTGGCTAGCTCTCTAGTCTACCTACACTGAGGTGGGAAGCGGAGTGCATCATGGGAAGGATGGAATTAAAATGGTTTTCAAAGGAGATGAGGTGGTGCAGCAGATGAAGTTATTTTGCCTTTACACTCCAGAGACTTGCCACTAAATATGGCTCTGGTTACAATTCTCCGAGTCTGGCGGCTCCCACCCTACTCTCTAGTGAGTCTCTGTCTGTCACGGAGCCAACACTCACCTCGGCACAGGTGGGATCTTTCAGGATTGCGGTACACTGGTACAGCTGCGGAAGGGCTTTCTTGACAAACAGGGCAGGAGAGGTCAGTTTTGTGGGGGGGCCCCAATAGGAGTTTCAGATCAGTATTAGCAGTAGAGCTGCATGGAGTAACACAGCCCATGCCGTGTTAGTGAGTCAGTGGTAGCCACATGCTTTCACGAGCACTAGATTTATAGTTTCACTTTAAAAATCCAGATGAAAGTCACAGAGTTTAAACCATAAACCCTGATGTGCTGCACCAATATTCACACTTACCATGATCACAGCCACCACAATGGCTGCAATACCGATCAGGTACAACTTCTCTGAGAACAGCTCATCAATTTTCTTATGACAATCCTGGGGTAGGCGACCCTAAGCAGAGGAGAACGCAGACAGCTTAGTCTCTCTTTCTCTCTCTAGCTGTGCACCAAGGCACATTTGTACAGGAAGAAGTGGAGTTCAATATTTCTACTATCCCTCCCCCTTCCCATGCAACTTCATGGCGTAATTTCCTGGGCCCAATGAAATCAATGGCAAAAATCCGATTGATTTCAGTAGGAATGAAAATTTCACCCCTTCGGTAGCTTCCAGCACCTTATTTCCTGCATTTTTGAAGAACAGCCAAGCTGGAGCCACCCCTAGCCCCTAACCGTAGCATGCAAGAGTAGCACCATACCGTGGACTGACTTTCTGTGGAGGATTTGTTTGGTACTGAATAGCCCATCCATTTCCAGTGGGGCTGTCAATGCTGAGGAGATGAGTTTCTTATCCTTACTCCTTTGCTATCCCCACTTACTCCCCCCGCCCCCACACCTTTGCCAGCTAGCAGAGAGGACTGGCTCCTGAGTGGATATTAAGACAGAAGATGGGTTGTTTAATTCTGATGCATTGCTTTCTTCCCCTTCTTGATTGGAGGGTGATGGAGAAGTCAACTCCAATTCAAGAATTGGGACTGAGCAACCCCTGTTGCCCTACCAGGCAAGGGCGAGTTTCCAGGGTGTGTCAAGGTTGTAGTAGGGCTCCATGGACTTGCTCCCTCACCCAACACTGTATGGTAGAAACAGCAGCCATCCCTACCTGGGCAAGAGTTTCCAAGAAGCTTTTTTCCTTTGGACAGAGATCACTCTGGATGAGCGAGGTGCCTATGGCCATCATGCTGTTTGCACCGCAGCAATCCAGCTATATGTGGAGAGAACACAGGGTTAGCAGGTATCAGCTTGGCTCATATGGAGAGTAGCAAACCTCCAAATTCAAGTTCTGATTTCTATGTAGTGCAGTGGCTGGATAGGATAATCCTACCAGATGTGTATTCCTGGCCCCTGGAGATCCCAGAAGATCTAGCTAGAGCCAGAGGAAATGTTGGACGAATTAATCTGAGCTGAGCTCCTCTTCCATTGGATTCTATTTAATGAAGGCATGGGATAGTTTCAGGGTAAACAAAAGGGCTTTTATTTAAACTCGGACATGACTTAATGGGCTCCATGTTAGACAGAATACTATGTGGGCACCTCCGTCATCCTACCCATCTCAGGTAGCTATACAACATGCCTAAACATCCAGGACAAAATATTAAGATCAGGATGTAATTTAGTCTCCAGTGGGCCCTGTTCTTGCCATCTCTTGGTTCAAATACTCAGACCTGGCATCTCCCCGTCACCATTCCTTCAGCTCTTCATTGTCTGTTATTTGACAAGCCTTCTGAAAAGAGGTGTTTTTGCACCAAGCTCTGACAACAGCTAGGCTTGAGCTAACTCAGATCTTCACAGCAAAGACCCTGTGCTGAGAAAGCCTGGATACCAGCTCCTGATCATGTTAATGCCTTTGCTACACTGAGTCCAAGACACCAGCTGTTGAACCTCACTGCCTCTTCCTTCACAGGCGGAGCAGTTTATGCATAACAATGCTTATTCCTGACCACTTCTGTAAAGTCCCACAAACTGAAGGAGGGCTCATCACACATGGGTTGGTCAGATTACTCCAAGGTGCATCTCTCTTGTGGATACCTGGGGACCTTTTATTTGGAGATAGTACTGCAACTGGGTAGATTATTGTATGCCCTATGAAGAGCCCCCCATAGCTATCCAAGGCACCTTACCGTTTCGTGGAAGGTCTTCACCACAGTTTTTGCATTAGTTGCATCAGAATCTGACGGGTCTTGTTGCAACGCTTGTTGCAATGCTTGGTCGTAGAACTGCTTCACGTCTTTGGCAACCTAAAGAGGGAGAGCAAGAAAATCCCTCTTACAGCCACAGAAAATAAATCTAAACAGATCCTTCCAACTGCCGTGCAAGGCAGCGACAAAGTGGTACAGATGCCAGGCAGCCCAGCTAATCACAAGTCACTGTCAGTGTCATTCCCAGATGAGTAAGAAGAGCTGGGCTGTATTTGTGACAATTATGGCAATATCCTATAATATCCAGGATAAACCTTACTGACCTAACAAACTTAATTCAAATACGCTTGGAGTTCATTATATTAAAAATGTGGGGGATCGTATGGAACGTCTTTAGAATCATAGGACTGGAAGGGACCTCAAGAGTCCGCTGCACTCCAGTCCCCTGCATCTAGAGTCTAGACCATCCCTGACCGGTATTTGTAGAACCTGCTCTTAAACATCTCCAATGACGGGGATTCCACAGCTTCCCTAGGCAATTTATTCGAGTGCTTAACCACACTGACAGTTAGGAAGTTTTTCCTAATGTCCAACCTAAACCTCCCTAGTTGCAATTTAAGCCCATTGCTTCTCATTCTATCCTCAGGAGGTTAAGAAAAACAATTTTTCTCCGGCTTCCTTGTAACAGCCGTTTATGTACTTGAAAACTGTTATGTCCTCTCTCAGACTAGACTATGTCTTCTCTTTTCCAGACTAAACAAACCCATTTTTTTCAATCTTCCCTCATAGGTCATGTTTTCTAGACCTTTCATAATTTTTGTCGCTCTTCTCTAGACTCTCTCCAATTTGTCCACATCCTTCCTGAAATGTGGCACCCAGAACTGGACACAATACTCCAGTTCAGTAGTTCCCAAATTTCAACAACCTGTGAATCCCTTTCACTAAAATGTCAGGTCTCGCGAACCCCCTCCTAAAAATAAATATTTCCAGGGATTTTCTCCTTTACCGGCGTATAAATTATAAAAGCAGTGATCTTGGAAATATAAAATTTGTTATGACATGCTTATTGCACAGTATTTATTAATAATTATTATTTATCATGACAGTATCTTTATTACATTATGAAAACGGCAACATTCTTCCAAGATATCACTTTTGTAGCTTGTATCACTTTGAATAAGCCTGTTATAATACATGGCTTCTATGTTTCATCCAGGAGTATCAGATGTGAAACAGCATGAAGGTATTGAAGAAGCCAACTCAAAGGAGTTCCTCCTACACAAGCATTCAGGTCTTGAGCAGTCCAGGCAAACAACGCATGTTACAACAAAGCTTAAACTTGTTCTTCATAATAATTTTAAAAACAATACTAGCTGCCTATTTAATTTTAAAAACAGCAAAAAATATCCATCTCCCTTTCCATTTCTTATAAGGAGTCTTGAAGTTTCAATCTCCTCAGTGTGATAGATCTGCTTGCTTTGATCTGCTTAGCTCTTGGAAGTCCAGGGGCCTGTGCTGCCTAGGGTCCCTAGGGACAGCTCTGTCTGCCATTGGGAAATTTTTTCCCAAGAACCCCCTGTAACATTTTGCGAACCCCCCGGGGTTCATGAACCCCAGTTTGGGAACCACTGCTCCAGTTGAGGCCTAATCAGCACAGAGTGGAGCAGAAGAATTACTTCTAGCAGGAAGACAAGATTAATGCAACTTCTAGGAGATATTAGGAACTTCAAAGGACTTTCTAGAACAATATATGTAAAGTGGATTTCCTAGGAAATACTCAGGGGTGAGAGAAATGCAAATGACCCAGTCTGAATCCATTCTTTTGAAGCTACCCCTTGAGTAGAGATACCTATTGTCTGAATACCTGCTCCTGAATACTCCAGTTCAAAGACCTCCAAACCATATAAAAGGATGGACACTTTCATGAGTGCTCTCATTCTGAGCAAAGAGTGTGATGAACTTGAAACCACAAAGCAGGGGAGGTGTTTTAAAGGATTAGTCCTGCCAGAGACCATGTTGGAGGGGGTGATCTCTGGTAAGCTTATTAGCATGCATGCAGGTACTTTTATTGCTTTTAATATTTTTGCTGCAATGCTTTTACCTTAAGAATAAAATATGCTTGTTTAGAAGAACTGTGTGGTAGCTTAACTGTGGACAGTTACACTTGGTCTCTGAAGAGAAAGCAAGCAGACTTATTTAGGCCGACTATGTTTATTTATAGAGGTAAGTGGTAGGGACCACTTCCCCTCAGCCTCACAGAGCTCAAAGTACTTCAAGCTACTGAATGTTTGAAGGGCAAAAAGTATAAGCATTCATTACACACTGCCTTTCAGCCAATGATATCCAAGTATTCTACAAATGCTCTCTCTATACCAGAGGCGGATTACGGTTTTGTGGTCCCTGGGCCAGAGCAATTGGGGGGCGTCTGTCCACCCCCTCCCCGCCCAGTGATCCTACCAGGGAGTGGGGTCGGGACATGAGGGCTTTCCCCAGCAAAAACACTGGGCGGGCGGAGCAGGTCGGGGCGTGCCCATTTTTCCGGGGCTACCCCAATTGGCCAGGGCCCTTGGGCATGCACTCCATTGGCCCCAGGGCTAATCTGCCACTGCTCTATACACAGACTGATGTTTTCAAAGCTGCCTAAGGGGTATGGACGTTATAGCTAATAGACACTGGGTGCCCAAATCTGCTAGGTGGCTTTGAAAAACTTCCACCATATTGTATAAATCACCTATTTGCCCACTAAAATGCAGCCACCTCTGGGGAAGAACGTGGCAGCAATCAACAGTGCAAAGCAATGCTATGCGGTGCCAGAGGTACATGGGGAAGCTTGCACAGGTGTTGCCTGCACTGTACATTAATAGAAGACCTCAGGATCCAGGGAGGTTGGCCTGGCGCCTTTCACAAGCGCCAAAACTCACTTTAAACAAAATATTCCCCCTTGCAAGAAAAGCAGTTTTTCCTGAACAGGAAGAGGGAGGGAAGAGGAGCAGAGGGAAAAGGTTAGACAGCAGAAACAAGAGGGGACAGAGTTCTTAAACTAAATCTGCAGCAGCCCAGACCTCACAGTGCTGAAAGGGGTGGCCAAATCACAGAAACCCCAGATTTGATTTTATTAGTTGCCCTTTTGCCCCCTCCCTTCTGCCCAATGTATTGGATTTGAGTATGACATCATCAGGCCAAGTCATTCACTAGTAGAGTCAGGGGAAAATTAACACCCTCCTCCCCCAAATGGCATTCTAAGCCATCTCAGCCAAATCAGAAATCAAGGAGTGCCTCCGATGTCATAATGAAGTAGGCGTGGGATGCCGGTTTTATTACCGGATCTTCCCCAAGGTGATGTCATTAAGGGTTGTAAGATGAGGCAAAATGCAGCAATTCCATTTATTCAGCACCATCTGGACTTGACTGGTGGACAAATGCTGCTAATAACATTTCCTCTCACTGAACATGGTTCAGTACTCCAGTGTGCTCCAATGCCACTGGCACCAGTTAATGCAAGTGACCTTTAGTCAGAGCCATTCAGCAAAGAGGTTTACAGAGAGTAGCCTCTTCTTTGATAGGGTTACCATACGTCCGGATTTTCCCGGACATGTCCGG